TTACTCATGCACTTCCCTCATTTGAAAAGAACACAGTCAAAAACAATTCCAATGATACCAGCATTGTTTCAATTTTGTTTCTGTTTCCTTTTCATTCAAACTAAGATTTTTGGCTGAATGAACAATGTGCTGCAAAATACACTTTCCTTATTTGGGTAGCGTTTATCTTTAGGTTTCGAACGACCAGTATGTACAGTGTAATCTCAAGCAGAAACATCTATTTCCCACTTGGCCTCACACAGGTAATTTGATGGTTAAAAACTACACATGAGCGTAATCGTAGCTAGTATTCATTTTCCTACATCAGTTCGAGCATTCATCGAATTTCCAATTATACCTATACCATATCACATTCTCGAAGTTCTTCCTGTGTCATGTTGTACCTCCCCCCCACAGATATATATTCGTACGAAATACGTAGTTTAAATGTAGGTGAAAAACTATGACGTTTTATCTGTACAGGGATAGATTAATCAATTGTTGGTCTTCGGCACGTGAACCACCGATGCCTCTCAAGTGATACAAGCATTAAAATTTTGATCAAGGACTACCTTTGGTAAAAAAAGAAATTTCGTGCTAAATCTCTATTGTAAATGATCAAAATTACGACAGCTTTTTATCTGAATACAGGAAAACATAAGTTGAAATTATATGAATATTCGCGCAGTGTAACATCTGAATACAGACTGCAAACGAAGACAAACATGTTTTAAGACAATTTTTCCAGAAAATATTATCAAGCTCATGGCAGCTCTTTTATCTAAGTCAGATGTAACTACAGTATATACCTGATGTCTTATGATCGTGTGGTATTGAACTAATTACCATTTTAAATCCAATGGTTCCTGTAGTACCCGAGTTTTCAAAAGAGAACAGCATCCTGTCCACAACAGGGCGCTCAATTTCTGGTAGCACAAGTATTTATGACGGGTTCCTGGTCAAATTTAGCTGTAAATTTACAAGTTGTGCGGTAAATGGAATATCCTTGGAGGGAAGTGAACGAATGTGAAAAAGAAGGGATTGTATTTTATCCGTGTGCAATTTATCTCATGATCATCGAATTCAATACAAAGCTTTAGCGCTTACTTTAATCCCGAAAACGCATGATAGAGAAGAACTGAAGTACAAATAGAGCATCTAATTGATAAATAACTGGATTCAGACATTTGATTTTCAGCTAAATGCTTCTTTGATTTTGGTTTTCAACCGAAACATTTACCCTGGTCTTTAATTACTGTGATATAGGCATTCGATCGTGAAGTGAATTACGATTAGTGCTGCAGATAAATAAAACCGAAATATCACATTGCTTGATGTAAGAAGTCCGAATTCACGTTAAAGTCCCCTGAGTTGTGAATGATGAATTGACCCAGAATATTCCTGTAAGGAGAAAGGAAAATAGAATATACCCCCTAAACTAAACAGTTAAACAGCTAATATAAACTCAGACTCCATGCACACGGTGGTTGATCAGACACTAATGCATTAAATATAAATGTCAACAACGCAATGGCATATGACGAAATCCGTAGTTTGTTGATTGCACCGGTGTCGTGTTCGAACCCCATTACCATCACCATCTGATACTCTCTTTTCTTTGCAGCACAAAGCAACCATCTATTGAAGTATTCTCACTTTAAATCAATACAATTTTTTGCAAAGACGGTTTCATTTAAAATAATTCAAGTAGTAAGAAACATGAGAATATTTGTTGACGTGGAAAACTTCAAGAACGTTATCGGTGCAGCATGTTTCTCGGGAATAGAAGAGAAAATGGAAAATAAGTTGAAATTGTTTACATTATTGTTTGGCAGATTAAAGTCTTATATTGGGATTGTCTAATTTGGATGAGTGATTTGAATGTAAAGAGACCAGTGCTATCGGTGTAGCTTCGTAGCCCAGCTGGTAGAGCGTGCGCTCTTCAAAAAGCGTAGGCGGCGCCCATGTGTGGGTTCGAATTCCACCTGGGCTACGGAAATTTTCACAATCTCAACAAAAGTTAAAATTATTATCCAATTCAATGCATGTATTTCATTTCCTTCAACCATAACATCGATCACGTTTCGGTAGGTACGTAAGACGGAATGTCTGATTCCTATTTCGTTTTAATAATTTAACATCAGCAACGTGACCATATAAATAAAATGCTCAACAACTAATTTTACCATACAAGCTTTGATGACAGTCTCATGCGAAGTTTGTTGCGTATTGCAAATAACCGTCACGGAGGCATTTGAAGACATGAAACGATTTGATGTAATAATTTAGTTCTAAAATGGAAACCTGCAAAATTGGTTTTCATGTAAAAGGAATCCTCTCTTCTTCAGAAGACATTTGAATGTTTCTTAACTGTAACTAGTGGAAACTCTAGTCAGATTATTATGTATCGTATGTATTGTATGTAATAAAGTAAACTGTAAACCAACCGTGGATAACCGCACTGGTCCATTTCCTTAACACTGTACCTCACTAGGTCCTCCGCAAATTGTTCAATGCAAGCAAATACAAGAAAGAAACGGATTGTCCGTGGAAGTTGTTTGCCTCATTCACAGCATTCCAAGACCAACAAGCAGTCAAATAACATGGTATCGAGGAGGGGTCGCGCTGAAGTCCAACGAGAGGTTCGTCCAAGTAAACGCTATCGATCGTAAAACAATCTTTGGTCATTGTTCTTTGAGTAAAATTGCAACTTTTGGGTGTCAAAACTAAACGTCACTGCCCTAAACGTCCTTCTAGGAAGTGGAACAAAAAAGTATATTTCCTGATCCACAAATTATATGAGTGAGTGCGGTTTGATTTTTATTGTTATATTATATAGTAAGATTCCAGACTGTTACGAGGTATTTGGTGGATTGTCGATTCCTCTCTATAAGAACGTTAATTTGCAAATAGTTTCATCTGCTTCGAACCTTTATCTTGCTTCCGGTAAGCGTTAACTACCACTAAGCCTGTTGTATCGCTCAATCTGTTCGCATTGTCCTTTACAGGCTACGCATCTATGAAGAACAGCTGCTCAGAGGAACACGGAGCGCTCTTCATTTTCGCAATTTGCTCACCGAAGATATTTCGGAGTACAACATCACAGTTCACAATGATCAGGGTTCGGATTGGAAGGTGATAAGTGTTTCAAACGAAGGCAAGTGGTACACAGATATGGGTTTTGTCCTTGGACTGCACGCAGTATACTTAAAGGCCACATGTGTCGCTTAAATCACACACTGTTTATCTCTTTTCCGTTTCGCGAGGGCGAATGCACGTTTTCTATCATTGTGACACTGGCTTGAATTAATTTCCACCATACCGATAAACGAAATGTTAAATTCAGATAACTTGAACCAGTAGATAAACCATGTGCTGAACCGATGCATATATTACAGCTATCCAACAGTGGTAGCATCTATTAGTATAAATCATTTTCGCCGGATGTAGGCATTCGGAGTTATGCATAACATTAGAACGCATACCATCAAAGCGATCCTGTCCCAGCAACCATTTTTTTGATCTATTACTGTGCGACAGTTCACCGGAGCGTTTGTTATTATCTGATGCTATTTAAAGAATCTGTGCATCGGAGCCTCTCATCACCAGCTAACTGGGAGAATACAGGCTCTTTTATTCGAGCCGCCCTACGGGGCTTGCACATACACGTCCGTCTATTCAAATTTATTGAAATAAAATCCTAGGTACCAGGGAGAAGCAACAGCCGAACTGTAGAGAAGGGCGGTACTACAAAATTTCACTCAACACAGCGATAATTCTAAAAGTATAACTTGGTCTGTTTTACTGCTTTTAGGAAGCAAATGAGCCCTTAAGGATAAGAAGAAATTTGTACGACAAGCAGCTGGTTATGCTCTACGGATTTTTTATTGACAAGCCAACGAATCAATAAATCAAAATCGCTAATCCTCAATGGCAAAAAAAATTTACCTATCCCGATTTGGGTGTAGAACAGTGTCCTTTGATATAATTGGGTAATTCACAGAGATCTAACTAGGCTGTAGAGAACAACCGTAACTGTGCGTTACTTTTTTAGTTTTTATTATTTGTCATTAGGTATACACAGATATTGCAATTTAGAACCAACTCAAATGATAACAAAATGTTTTTTGACTAACTACGGACAAATATTATTGGTATAAACAGGTTTCATCATACTCAACGGAATCATGTGCGCTCTTGGGCTCTTGGATGAAAATGCGTCCCAAACCACCGGTGTGCACTTTCTTTATTTACTTCACTGAACAATCTTTCTTCTTTCCTGTTTTCCCACAATTGGTATTGGGATCCGATTCATCCAAATTACGTTTTCGTTACAAAAGTATATATTTTTCTCCTTTAACGATCTGCCTTGTGTGTTTAAACCTATGAGGAGCGATATTTCGTATGCAGCCATTCGAGAATATTTTGTAATTTTAGCCTTTTTTCTGTATCTCATCAACGGCAGCGTTTTGAATGTTCTTTGTAAAGTATTTGCTAATCAATGCTCTTGCATAAAACCGTGATTGCTGATAAGAAAGAATTGCTTTTTGAGACTACACAAATTGATCTTCGCTAGTTTGATTGCATTAATTGCTCATGAGGAAAAACTTCTTTCCAAGTGTACATTCCAACCACCCTCATCGTTTGCAGTTAGGAAGCTGTGAGAGACTAAATACCTAGAGCGCATTCAGTGCCCCAGTGAATAGGAGCTATGCTATTTTGGTCGTTCTTGAACATGCGGTTTATGTTTGTACTAACAAGGGGAAATAAATGTACAGCAAAATGTGGGTTCTTTAACTTTATTCGCACAGTGTATTTTCAATGATATTTAAACGCCTTCAATGCCTAATGGTATGCTAGGACTAAGTTATGCAATTTTGCGTAGAACCTGTTTAACCTATTCGGTCTTATCTTTGCTTACAGCAAGTCTTCCACTGGTATTCGTCATCGGCAGTGGAGCTGCTACCGGACTGGCCATTATCTTTGTCGTCATAATTGGTTGCTTCATTCGATATTCACGAATGCGGTCAACTAACTCAGCGGACAAAAAAGCTAAACCGCCGGAAGGCTCAATCAGTGAGTTGAAAACGTGCGGCGCCTTCTGTCAGCATATAATGTTTCGTCCATGGACATCCCGTAGTGCTGGAAGACTCGCGATTGCCATGTACAAACCGTTGAATTGTTTTCATCCACTTGATTTGTTCATATTTTCCGGAATAAATCTTCGAATTTAACTACCATTTAACAGGTTCCTACTATTTGGTTGACACCAGTATTATTTATCACAAACGTGAATGCGGGAAATATATTTGACTAGCACATGAAATTCTCAGGCGAACCCGGAGGTAGCCCATGACACGTACGAGGACAAATGCATATCGCATACGTACATACATACATACACACATACATGCATACATGCATACATATATACATACATACATATTGACTGTGATCGGTTTCTTAGATCCTTTTACTTTGGCCAGTCACATCTATCTGACAACTATGCATCAGCTGATTTCCCAAAGTAACCCTTCTCTGACCCNGTTTAATTTATATACAGTACTAGCCAATTGTGACGCACTAAAATATTTTCTTTCTCATCAAATTGAGTTTCATCATATTTACCATCTATGCTAATGCTTCAGGTATGGACAATAATTTATATTTTGTCTACTTCTAGGCTACATGATTGTCAGTTAAACGTACATGACCTTGGTTGGCAGGATTAAATAATCTCAGCATGAAAATCGCAAACATTATCAGGTATGAAAATGCAATATTTTCTAATAACAGCGACTCATGCATTATCCCGAATTATTTCCGTAAACCCTTGCCATGTCGGTTATTTGTTATGAGGCATTATTTTATCCAATATATAATCCATTATAGCAACTCTATTGAATAACCGAATGAACTTCTTTTACAACCCGCAGAAATTGTATTAAATAAGGTTTCATAATTATATCCTATGTTTGATACCTAACTCGAAAAGGTACTAAAGAACAAAGGCAGATCAACTGACTATTGGTGCACACAAAGTTTGCATCTTAACTATTGTCAATTTGGTTGCAAATAAGAATTGTTTCATTCTCTATAGTTTGCTATTAACCCACTTTGATCTAGGTTAACCACTACTACTGAAATGGGAGTATCCGCTACATTATATACCATTCCATCCCCTGAATATAAACGAATCAGGAAAATGAATGATGTAAAGACTGACCAAGGCTTGATTATTATTATTTGGAAAAAGATTACTTCAGTATAAATGCATGTGGCTAAACGAACTCACACGTTTTTCACAGGGACCCGTTCCTTCAGTTTCGATTAAACCTGTAAGACATTTTATACGTCTCACTTACATTACAACTCAATGTTTATATTAAGGTGATTTTGAAGCAGTTCGTTTTAAGTCACATTTATTCCTGTGGAGGCACCACGACACATATTCTTATTTAAACCTAAACTGAATTGAGCGGTAGGGAAAACTGCTTATAACAGCTGGCGAGAGGTTATTATCATCTTAAAAAAAGGTTAGTGATATTCGCACTTATCGCTTAAATGGTTGTTATTGCATTTAATCATCAAAATGTCTTCGAGTAATGGAGTTATTCAAATGAATTAAAGCCAGTGCATGAATACATTTTGAGCACTCAGGGGAGGGACATACATAAAAAAATCATAACCTCTTTTTCTGCAGCTGGATTGAACAGAATGAACACAATCTCCAACACGAAGTGCATCAATAATCCCTTTTTTCCCCTTCCAGAATCCAATGGTTTCAACTCACCTTCAAACGCGGACGATCAGCACAGATCATATGAAATGGAATTACATCCATTGGCACCATCATTACTACCATCCACTGGATCAGATCTGCAACAGCAGGTAAGGCCTTGGTTTACAAGAATGCGATCAATTGGTTAGACATTAATTGAGAGAATGTTTTGACAAATGACTATTTGTACGAAACAAAATTTGTGAAAAAACAGGATCAATGTTATTCGTATTTCATGCAATAAGATAAGCATCTTAAACTAGCTAAGTTGGTATAGTAACTGTTTATGTATGAGCCCACCATCATATGCTATCTTCAATTATATGTTTGTAGTAATTGTAATTAATCATTCGACAGGCCAAAAACGTTTGTATTTATTGTGAAACATAAAATATACTTTGTTGGAGTAGTCTTTACTCCTCTGTTGCTTTGAAGTTTGAGGAACAATATCAATTTTAAAACATTCAAATCATGCAACCACCATTCTTGCGGTTTGCCTAATTTATCCACCAGTAAGCATCCGCTGGGCCATCGCGAAATAAGCACACGTCTGACGTCAAATTTGTAACCCGTACGACAATTATCATTCAGATGGTGCACATATATTTGGAAGTAACTGTATGCATAGTGCAAAGTTGATAACTATGTGCTTTGCACATTTTTGTCAATAACTTTTGAGGCTTTTCAAAATCACGGATTGTTGTCAAATTATTCTCTAGAAACATTCGACATATGCAGTAATTTAGCCTCTGATAAATAAACTAGCACATATCGGTTTTTCAGGGAGGACTTTTAGCTGTAATGTAAATCTTTTTTATCCGTCCCAGTGGGATGCACGTGGGTTAAAATTAATTTATTTTAAAACTTTTTCTCAGTATTGTCCACTGTGCTACTTTTGGAGTTTAATATGCTTTTATCGTGTTGGAAGACAATTTCGTGCATAGTAGAATACAAATTGTTTTTACGTTTTTTTCTAACATTGCATAAAGGTTTCATTTCATTATTTGGTGCGAAATGTGTCACCATACCCCATCAACATGTATAATGCCCATTCGTAATTTGCATGAACTAAATGATGATATACGAAAGAAATGTCACTGCAGCGGACATCTTGCATAACACTACTGGTCTTTTTAAAAAATGTGTTGAAAATACCCAAAACCTATCGAGTACATCGTGCGTAAGAATCCGGGAATGATATACTTTCAAGACGTTTATTTCTATACAAAACGATAGTCAATCAGCATTGATAATGTAGCCATACTCTTAAAGGTTTTGTTGATCATATCTGGTGTGTAACTGAACAATTTCTCGTAATAACTTGCGGATGATATCTAGTTTGGTGTTTAAAGCCATTACATGTGTGTTGATCCGTCTCTATCATGCAAATATAGGACAAATAAAACGTGAAGAGCAGAACGGGGACGCAATGTTCTGTTGTTGGGAAAATATGAACTGGAACTAGAGATATCTTACACCCTTGGTGCAAGTCGGTTCAGCACGAGTACATAGAAATTCCATAAGACTCTGTCTGGTTCTTAAAAAGACGGTAACCAGCCACAGTGTTTTGCTACTGAATTTCGAGCAGTGTTCATCCATTGATCCGGTTCTTCAAAATAAAACCAAGTGAACGTCTGTCATCCTTTAAAATGAAAACAATGTTAACTGCACAATCCTGTGTCGTGATGCATACTTGAACCACTTGTAGAGTAGTACTGACCTGAAGAAATAGTTCCCTCTCTCTCTTTCTCGAAAAATTTGACCACTAAATGATTTCCCCTTTGAGTAATTCCTTTAAGATCCTAAAACGGTCATGTTCTGTCAGGTTAATGACCCGAGATCTGGTATTTCTCAAGAGGATCCGGATGTTTTAACCTTATCTAATTAACAAGCGGCAGAGGGTTTTAAATGTTAAATGTTTGACAGACTCAAGCGTAGCCCGTGCAAATGTCACTCAAATTAATGTGTCGAGCACCAATTCACGTACGCGATCATTCCAAACGCAAATTACTGTCAGCTGGAGCCATAAACTTTTGGACCTTTCCAGTATTCTTTTGCAGTCAAAAGCAGTTGTCACGACGCCGGATTAACGCATAACAGGCGTGGAATTTATCACTCAAAAACAATTGACCCTAAAAAATGCTTCTCACTGTCAGTTTTCAACGGGCCGAAACGTCGGTGTGTAACAAATTTCCCTTCAATTATTTGAATCGGTAGGGATTTTGAAATTCGAATGCCCTGAAGTTTATTTTTGTTATGCATTTACTTTCACAAATCACAAAGTTCAGTGTTAAAGAAACCAAGGTAAAGGTGAGGTGATACCTGAGAAGAGTGACCAAAATGTCGAGCCCTTGGATTTCTATTAGTTTTTTAATTCGCTTGCGATAGTGCGACGCTACAACTGACTTTCATCTAGACGGTATCTCTTTGGTGCACGGAATTGACCATGTATAAGCGCCCAAAACGATTGCTGGCCTGTCTATCAATTATTGTGATTTGTGATAATTGCCGGGGAGTAGTTTTCACCTAAACCAAATGCTCTGGGCAAAGGTTTGTCACTCTTCTGATTGCACTCCCGTTTCTTGAGGGTAGAAAGCAGAGATCCAAATTATATTGGAACATTGCACATTATTACCCGACCAGTAGTCACCATCGGACACGACCTTCTGTGATGCACGACTACGAAACTTTCCTACTGGAACGGGTAATGGAAATCATTCACTATTTTAACCCTAAAAATCAATCTGATACAACTGACAACTGAGAAACGTTCAAATGACATACAGTGTGAAACTAATGAGGGGAAATGGCACTAAATCTTTACAAACTTGGCATGCAGAAATTCTGAACCGTATTATAGTAATTAACTCTATGACAGTATAATAATAAATGTCGATTTCATTTGATATATAGACTCTGAGAATTTCAAAATGAATGTTGATTGGCCACGGTCTAGAAGATTAGATCTTCCACTCTTTGTTGAATGGTGTATTTTCCCTTGACCTACTCTCCATTTTATTGTTCACATCTGTCTATCGGTAGCGGCCTCTTATCAGGATATATAGATGACAAATTCGTTCTATATCAAATTATATGAAATGTATTAAGTTGTTCAGGACATGCATCGTTAACCCGGATTGTATGTAGTAAACATCAGATAACTTGCCTGGTTTAGGATTTGCATGAAAGCCTGTGAACAGAAACGGGTCCTCCAAATGCTTTTTCCTCAGTATATTCTCGGAATTTATTCAGTTGATTTCATGCATGAAATAATCGCTCAAACAATAACTTCCTTTTTTGTTCCAATTTTAATCCGTACAATCACGGTCGATTAAGTGATTTTTTGTAGTTGTCACAATTTATCTAATATTTTCCGAATTTGAGATCTGATAGTGTAATCCTTAGATTTACGTAACTTATGTAACCCCACACTCTTCCTTGTTGAACAAGATATTCATTGGGGTTTCGACGTCTGCATCACATGCATGGGCAGAAACATAAATTCCAGCATCTTTTGATCATAGATTATTCTCATAATCATTGACTGACCATTGCATTTGTATCGATGTCACTAAAACGGCATTCTGTTCCGTCCACCTCTGTTCATTAAGATACTGCAGCTCCCTCTCTATTTGATTCTGTCACCTCGCTTTACACTTACTGCCTCAAATTGCTCACGATCTTCTCTTACGAGCCCTCCCTCCATCACCCGGTAGAAACTGATCCGGTTCGCTTTTCCAAAAGAGAACCTGAGTCTGTTCGCGTGGGTGACAGCTAGAGTGATTGATTGTTCCGAGAAGCGAACGATTTAACGTATTTCGACCCTTAGGTGGACTCGATGCACAAGCCAAGGGACAAAAACAGAGTAGTGTTTGACAATTTTCGGTGGAAAATCTAGTCAAAACTGTTTACGAACCAAACGTTTTCGCCCTTTAACTTGTTAAGCTGAATAGTCGGTTTTGATTAGCTCTTGAATATCTCATTTGGATCTGTCTCAATCGTATAAATGTTTGAGGCCTAGTTTACCAGATTTGACCACATATTATTGGCTCACAAAAGGGTGAATTCAATTATTTTCCAAATGTATACATGGTTTGTGGATAGCCACAATTTGGATCACCTTTCAATCACTAACCGTTGGATTTCTCGCCTTGATCAACCTTTGCAGCCAACGTGTCACTTCTGTCTGACAGCTCAGAATCCGGCATTTCTGGACACACAACTGGAGGTGGACGATATGCTCGGAGGTAGTACAGTTGTCAAGTAAGTCTGCCCCCATGAAAAGCAGATGTAGCAGTGGCCTCGGTGGCGGCGGCGATTAAGACTATCAGTTGGTTGACATTTTGGGCACTGCTCTGCTTGCGGATTAGAAACCATTATACTTGGACTAGGATCTCTCTCCTTCAAGCCCACCTCCCTCTCCGGCCGCCATTACCCTGCCGGCGGTACAATGTACAACAAGCACGCACTGATCACAGTGCGAAAAACGCTTCAAGGAAAGCCGGTAGTAATCCGCCGTGATAAACACAAATACAACGATCATTTTACTGGTTGGGTTTAGATTTAGCCCAGCTCAGGATCTGCATTTTTAAAACAGAAATATTGACGAAACTTGCTTTATGGTGCTTCCAGTAGTAAGTAGCTCACGGTTACAGACTATTGTCTCATTGTTTGAGTAACATGGAGAAGACGTGATGAAAACCATGGACTGTCTATATTATGTTCTGCCTTAAAACGTTGATTGTTATGTTTAGCCAAATACCTGATCAACTATTTTAGCGATACCTTCGGATTGTATAAAAATCAGTTTGATTCGGTTATACACGTGGAGTCGGAGGTATGTTTATCGAATCACTTACCGTGCAATATGTTAGACACTGCAAACAAACGCAAACTACAAAATATAATGTATGATGTGCAGAAACATTTAAAAACTTAAACTGGATTCAACCAGTTTATTGGATTATAATTCGAAAACTAATTTTTCTTGTATGTCCCTTCAAAACAGCTTCCTCATTTCCGAATGTTCAGTATAACTTAAATAATGATTAATTATTTAAATAAGCTGGCGTTTCTGGATCGAAATTAGCTTGGACCTGCCTTATGTACTTAAATTTTTTCTTTTTTTTCTTTTGCAGTTGTAAAAAATCCGATGACAGTGGCTGTGAGCTGGGTGATGTTATGTCCATCAGTGCTGGACCGGTTGAACATTCTTGTCGTGATCATGCTGCCACGATTGGTCGCGATTATCAACCAATCGTGAGTACAGTGCTCGTACGAAACTCTCCGGTCGTATGCTACCCGGCCACGAGCGCAAAATGTGGTGAAACCCTAAACACCTCGAAATACGGAAATACTTTCGTTAATGTGCACGCCGGTCCCTGTTTGAACCCGATAACCGGGATGACATGTGCGCAACAACAGATACAAATACAACAACAACAACAACAAAATACTCAATACAGCTCTTACTACGGCAGTTTCACATGCCCAAGACCCGTAATAGCTAAACCCCTAAGTCCCATCCTGTTTGTGGCCCCCAATCTCCCCCAGACCAGCGTGTACGAGAATCCTGTGCATTCGCCTAACCTGCTGATNTTGATTACCTCACCTGTGAAAAGCTCTTGTTTCACGCCTCCACCAACTGCACCAACGTCACAATCAGTGTTGCCCGGGAATAGCGGTACCGTATTAGGTAATGCCCCGGATATCTATCCGGACATGTCTGTTTTACCTCTGAATTTTACCGATCAGACTCCAGGACTGGCATTCAGTCCGACCTGCTCGAACGCAATCCCGGTGTGTTCAACCAATCTGTATGTGTCCCAGCCCATGCCAACCGAAAATCGATTTACGTCCAAACCGATCGGTGTGTTGGCCTTCCGAAACTCCGATGATGATGGGACAACTGTATAGATTTCATAAACTAGTGATTATGTCCCACACGCTGTACTACGTTTATGTTCTCACCGTTCTGTGACGCCATGGCGCCCCTTCCCAACTTTGTTTTCTATTGTATACACAAATTTGAAGCTGACCATTACCCAGCGAACAGACATAAAAGATAAATGTGAGTGTATCCTTGTACACACAATTGGCTAATTTTATGCGTGTACAGAAACCTTGCCACATTTATGCTTGTTGCTTGGTACAACTAGTGATGTTAATGAAATGGGTATTTCGGTATCGATTACCTTTTTGGATTTAACAAGGAAATATATAGCAACTGGGAACTTATTCATCAAACCTACATTTGCTGTGTAAGTATTCCTGCCGAAAATCTATTCGGTGGTTGTCCAGTATCGATCAGTTGTAATTACTGAAGGATTCTTCATGTCTGTTGCTCACCTATTTCAAGTAACAGGCTGAAATTAAAATACCCATGTGGGGTCACCAAATTGATGCCATTGTCTTAGGCCAAAACCACAAAAGCGGGTTTCCAACTTTCAATAACATGTTACATTACATTACTTCAATAAAATCGGCATTCAATCATCGACAAAGCGACGTCTTGCAGATGTAGCAAAACACCTTAACAGTGACTGAGGGTGAATTCCTGCGTTTGAAGTTCTTTCTGATTTCTGATCCTTTTTATGCTCTTCTCTATCCTCCAGTCTGACTCTCCACCCAGGACAGCAGACAAAGTACATGCTACTGTTTATAATGCAGCTTTCATAACAATAAATTTGACCATACGGAAAGAGAATTATTTCCAGTTATAAACATACCATTCAATACACATATAAACTGCCGAATGCTGTTCGCGTTTTGGCCAACGAAACTGTTGCTCGTTCTCTTTGATTGAGGTCTATATACAAACTGACATCAGTACAGTTCAGTTATTTTCCTAATTTAATAAACCGCCACTATAAAAGCTTAGAACTTGTCAGAAAAATATGCATTACTCGGAAAACAAGCGTGAGATTAAAAACAAAATTCATTGTTTCATGTTTTGGAGATATCAAATGATAAATTTGTGATTTTCACCTGCTACTATTTGAGAAGAAAAGTTAGCTGCATACATCTTGACGCTTTAAGGTTGTACGATATGGCACCAACTATGTTCAGTGTTTGCCGAAAGTAGAAAATCCGTCAAAATAATAAGACTGTTCCTCGTCCAGTACAAGCACGCAGTGTCCCTTCAGTCGTTTGAAATGTCAAGCAACTTCCAGCTGTATATCACACAAATGCTGTCATAGTAAACATCTTTTAGTAAACGCAACGCACATACATTCACACTTGGGACAAAAAGAATATTATACATATATATATATATATATTCCATCAATTAATACAGATGTGCTGTCATGGGGTAATTGGACATTGCAGAAGTAGGACAGAAACAATGGCCAACAACCATCACTTTCGCCAAGTTATTCATTTGACGTTAAGGGCTTTTGCTTAACACCGGCGTAACTGTCCAACAAGACAAACGTTTCCTAATACATATTACCCCAGTCTGAAGTAGAGGTGGCAAGACTGTTCTTAAGAAACAAATGTTTATATTTTCCCTAGCACCAGATATTATTTATGATCTTAGGTGTAGGCTTCACTCCTTGGGAGATTGGTGCTTCGCCATCACCTGAATGCATTCAAATGCAATGGACAATGACCGGCAGGGAGCACTTGAAACCTGTTCCGTCCTGTTTTGGACTCGTCAACAGTGTATACCTTTTAAGTCCCTGACAGGACTCTAACCACAATCCTTCAAGTTGGGAGTCAACACATTTACCCACGAGCTATACGGCCGACGGTTATCACATTCGAATGGTTCAATCTCTGTAGACTGTGAATGTTTAAATTAGCCCATTCGGTTTTTCACAGGGACCAGTCATTATTGCTGATCTTGAGTGAGGGTTTCACTCCTTGAAAGATCGTTCCCCACCAATATTAACAGGGTCACGACTGACAAGTCCAAACCAGGATGGATTAAATGTTCATTGCCCTTGGCCGGACATGGATCATCACGTTTGACTGCATTCAAATGGTGATCAATTATCAATCTCCTAGGAAGGAAACGACGAACAAGATCATGAACAACGCCTGTTCTATTGAAAAACCGTTTGGACCAATCCAAATATTCACCGTATACCAGAATAATAATATTGACTAACCCCATAAAACCCAGTTGCGCTATATTTGACACTTTCTCACTTAGTATCCAGTCCCCAAAACCTTACCTGAGCTTATAATATGAAAACTTATATGCTTCAATATGATACATATGGGATACTCTTACTTCCAATCTCAGATCGGACGTCGTTTTGTTTCTTGCAATTGTTCTCATTCTGTTTATTACTGCTTTATTTTATTCGGATTTTCTCTCATTCCTTAAAAAGAAGAGTAATTTTGCTTCAAATTACCACTAATCGCAGTTTTAGAATGTCCTGAAATCGACAATAGATAACTAACTACAGGAACGGCTGTAACACAGTTCAATGGTCCGTACGACTAACATTACAGTGAAAAGGGTTTTATTTTGCCTAAGGAATAAGTGCGTTGAAATATTTCGCACGTATTTAAGTATTTCTTCAAGCTAATTGGGTCATATTTTTTGATTTCTCGGAGAAATCTACATGATGCGTACAGCAATTTGGGTGGCATTTCGCACTAGTTGTACGAGACTTTTCGTAGACATAAATCCGTCATCTAGATCAACCTTCTTATTCGTTTAATCCTGTCTGTTTTGCCTACGTTTTCCATATTTTGTTTGTAAATTCGCAAGATTACTTATTTCCCCACGTTAATAGATGAAATGTGGCAGACACTCCCCGGTGATTTTTCTTGCATTCGACGAGACCAAGCTGCATCATTCTACTCACTGTTTTTAGTAAAAGCAGACAGCACAACACTCGGCCAACGATCCGCGAATGGGTTCTAGGTTATATATAACATATTACGATTTTATTCATGCCACTTCATTTTATTGAATCCAATAAACGTTTTAAACATTAAAACTTACGTTTTCTTTGTAATAGTGTGCACGTTCATTCTACTAGTGCTCTGTAACAAAATCAATGAACATCTCGGTAAATTTCGAAGATTATGTAGCAGTTTTGTGATCAATTTCGGACTAAGTACCAAAGTACATCTCCCCACAGAATAAACTTTCATAATGGGCAGTAAAAACGGTGCCTCTATAAGACCAGGAACCGGAAGTCTGTTGTCAATAAATTTTCCTAGATTTTTGTTCTAATGACCAGCAGCGTCACATGATCAAATGATTGGTTTCGATTTTCATCTAGTTTGAATCCAAATACAACCTTCAGTAATTGTGGCTAATTTACGGTATTAACTCCCCGCGAAATCGAATAGTTATAGGCTGATGATGGTGGTTCGAGATAAAGGCATTCTAATCAGTCAAATTTGGCACTGTAGTGTATTTTCGTGTTACATTTTCGTTCACCAGAATTGATTCATTTCTGCATCTAAGAAGCTAAACATGGTTTCACGTCTAAAAATGATAAAAACTATTGAAAACAAGGATTATTCATGAGATTTTCAAATGGGTTCTATTACAAATCCAACTTGGTACCCAAAAATTAGTGTAGGACGGGTGCAGTCATCCAGAATCGTTTAGATAACGTCCCCTCTCTCTTAGAGTTCAAGTGAATAGTGCATACATTTTAGCTTGGAACTTTGTGTACCTAAGTAAAATGTGGTAAATAATCACCAAGATGATGCAAATATACTAACAGATAGGAAAAATATTAGTTGAATTCGGAGCGCTAAACGGTTTTAACCAGAACACACGCACTTGTGGGAATAATAAGACCTAGCCAATTCAATGCTTATTTTTACATGAGAAGACAACCGTAGTTTGTTGTCATCGGGAATTCTGGTTGGTTTGGCTATGTAGCATTGGTCACCATTGTGTCTAATTGTTGCACTTTGTTGCATTCTATACTAGACCACGGAGTGGCCACTTCCACTATTTTCTTTGAAACGTGACTGAAAAATTGCACGTTCAGTGAAATAAATTGGAGGTTTGAAAAAGGAAAAGAAATTCCTCGAAAATCTTTCACATTGCCTCCATACATATGGTTCTTAATGTACCAGAACTGTCAGTAAGCCATATCGGGACAGGTGAGATGACACGGGACCACGTCATCAGCTTACTTGAAAATCTTGATGGGCTAGGGTCAAACTACTGCACTGACTTGAGTGACGAAAATAGGGTCAAATATGTTCTAACCATACCCGATTTATTGGCGAACGTGTCGGACACTGCGCCTTTACCATCTGTCATTCAGATGTTCCCCAATAGGTCGCTTTTTAACTCACAACAAAAATACCGCATGCAAACAATGAGACATTCAACTTTCAGGGAACGAACGATCAAGAAAAGCGACTGAGTAATAAGTAATGAAAAACAACCAATATGGAACCAAACTTATGAATGAAAGACTGTTGCTTATTATAAATTAATTGGTTTTAAAGGTATACCGAACACAATTTCATTTAATCACTTCATTGATTCAATAATGCTGTTATAATTTCTATGGGAGGATAAAACCATTTTTTATTATTTACTTTCTTTTATTTAAAACAATGATACAAAATTCAGGAAGGGGGAAGCGACCAATTAAAGGGCTGCGATACTTGGCACAAATGAGGAAACCTAGGGCTTGTGAAGTTAACATCAAAATGTGTACATTGCACATTACATTTTAAGTTCTCTGTTTCCGGTATCTTTAGTTTTGTCACGTTGGCCGTGTGACCGAGTTGTGAGGGATCACTGTTATTGTGTGACTATGTATTCGTGTAGAGGAGAGGAGTGAGTTCCTTAACCCGGGGAAACGAATAGTGTAGGTTAGACGCTCCTGGGCAGAGTTCGGCAAGCAAGTGTTTGATACTCGAGACTTTGCCTTGGTTAACATGTACATTCTAACTTATTTAGACCGGTTCTTGGGAAC